GTGTAATGCCCATGGAAGACAGAAGAGGCTGTCGAATCCCCTGGAGCTGGAGTTACAGACAGTTGTTAGCTGCCATGTGGATGTTGGGATTTGACCCTGGGTCTTCTGCAAGAATAGTCAGTGTTCTTAACTGCTGAGCCATCTCTGCAGCCCCTAAAGATTTATTTTATATTATTTAAAATTATGCATATATGTGTGTGCACATGTGAATGCAGGTGCCTTCAGAAGTCAGAAGAGGGCATCAGATCCCATGGAGATGGAATTACAGATGGTTATGAGCTGCCCAACATGGGTGCTGGGAACTAAACTTGGGTTTTCTGCAAGAACATCAGGTGCTCTTAACTGCTAAGCCGTCTCCCCAGCCCCACACTGAGTAAATTTTGAACAACTGTGGCTCACTGATTCAGTCTTCAAAGCATGCACCCTGGACCAGATCTCGGATTTTGATTATTACAATTTAAAAACATAAAATTATTGGTCCAGGTTCAACTCACCAGCACCCTGGATTAAATCAGTAAGATAGCCATCAAAAGTCAGATGTTTCTTGAGAACGGGTAACAGTTGTAGCAATATTTTTTGGATTCCTGATGACATAAATGATGAGAGAGAGACAGAGAGAGACAGAGACACAGAGATACAGAGACAGATATTATGAAGGTGTAGTATAAATGTTTATATCTCTGAATTTTCAACATCACACATTTCTTCATATCTAGAACCAAACTGCTTATGTTTCTACACAAAGCACAACAAACAGGCAGAGGTCAGAGGACAACATGCATCTTTGCCCTCCATCCATCATTATCTCAACACAAGGTTTTCTTCCCTTCCAGATTTGCTTAATTCAGAGATAGAGGATGCTAAATTGATCTTATACTTGGGGAAGTTTCATTAGCTGGCATAGGCTTGAGTGTTTCATTAGAGTAAAACAAAAGTTGGAGAGCTTGGAAAATGGTCAAGTGATAAGAGGGCTTACCACACAAGCATAAGGATCAGATTTTGGATCCTTGGAAACCCATGTCAATGCTGAGTGAGCAGAGGCTGCCACTTTTAGTTCCAGTAAGGCTAGCCATATTGTGTAGTTGCCTCCCTTCTCCCTTAAGGATGAAAGCCCTCTGCTTGCAAATAGCTAACAGGCTTTGCTGATGCAGAAGCTTGGGGTGGGGAAGAGTTTGCTCCCCAGATACCTGGGAGAAGACTGATCAGGCACTGGCTGAAGTTCAGTTTCACAGCACCAGTCACAGCTGGTCAT